GAGTCCAACTCTCACCGGAACCAAGCCCGACTTACTACCAGCAATGTGGACCAGACTCTGACACCAGTCGTACAAGGACCTGACAGCCCGTATCAAATGGCCCGGTACCCCATACCCCCGGAGAACCCCCCACAAGGCCCCCCTTGGGACACGGTCGAACGCCTTCTCCAAGTCCACATGATGTTAGTTATTTAGTGTTATTGTTTTTAATTACATTAAAACTGTGTTTGAACTTATCAGAACAATAAAAATAAAGTTGTGGCTTTTATTTTGAAGGAATGCATATCATCCGCCACCTTTCAGGTCAAGCTCATCGTTGTTTTACGTTCGCTCAACATCTTTAATTTGAAGCAGCGAGCGTTACCGCCTCAGTTCTTCTTCTGTGGTTTGGTGTAGGCATGTGACCTTTGACCTCCAGCTGGAGATGGAAACAGACAGCTGACAGAGAAGCTGAGCCAAACTGCCTCTGAGGGTCTCAGTGTGTGAGGCGACCCACCGACAACATGGAGGACGTGGAGAACCTGTTCAACCCCAGGTACTGATTTCTGTTCTTCTTCTTCTCTTTAAATCAACGCAGGTTTTAACTCATATTTCTGTTCAGTTCCCTCAAATTATTTTCATTTTCTTACCTCTGCAGTGACCTTGTTTGTCTTGTTTGTGTCACAGTGTGAGTGGTCATCACCCACCACTGATACAGTCTGTGGTAGCAAAATATCTAAAACTACATCTATAACAGTTTAATCAGTTTTACAGATATTAAGGTAAAGTTTGGTGTAGCAGTATCTCAAAATGCTAACAAACTGCTCAGTAATTTTGTTTAAAACTTTGTCATTTCCTGCTGGAATCAACTCTGTCTGTCTGTTAGCAAAATATGTCATGAACCAGAGGATGGATTTTAATGAAACTCTCCACAAAAACAGATAAAACTAAGTAAATGTCACAGATACTGAGTTAAAGTTTGGTGTGGTGGTAGCTGAGAGTGATATCTATCTCATACCCTGAACACTAACTGTAACTGAAACCATTATTTTACCTATTTGACAAAACTGTCATTTTAAACAGGAAGTAGATGTTTGTTTAAAGCTTTTATAAACAGCAGGTAGGAGTTTCTTCCAAAGAACTAAATTCAATTTTATTATTTTTCAAAGTTTTAGTTTTTTATTTAATCATCAATGTTGAATTAAAGTGTTTGAATAGTTTAGTGTGACTTTGTTCCAGTTCATGTTATTTTTAGCTTCAGCACTGTTTGCAGCTGTCGAGTTTTTCTGTGTCAAACACCTGCTGAGTGTGTGTGTGTGTGTGTGTGTGTGTGTGTGTGTGTGTGTGTGTGTGTGTGTTGGTTTGTTTATATGCATTGTGAAGTCAGTGTTTATTTATGTCCTTTATAGGGACTTCAGCAGGTCCTTGAAAATTAAAAGCAGTAAATCAAATTCTTAGTGGATTAGATTTGATGAAAAATTAAAATACTTGCATGATATTGTCAGTAAATAAAATTTATTGTTGTGTGTGGGGGTGGGGG